TTCGAATGTTAATCTCGTATGATTTTCACAAATTCAAAGTAATATTTCAAAGAGTTAATTGAAACATAATTAGAAATAACTCATGAAATCAATATTGGTTGTCGTGGCAATATAGATATGTCAAATGCTCATTACTTGGAAATGTTTATTAATTTAATCAATTCACCTGTTTCACAGAGCACAAACACTGCAATCAATCTTATGAATAAATCAAAACACAAAACTTCAACTCCGAACTTGCACGCTTCATTCTAATTAAGGTTGAGAAAATCCGAATAAGAATTGCATGGAATCAACAAGCTGTATTCCTCTCATAACCGGCTGCTGTTGCCCACATCGTGAAAACTAGTAATGAAGGATTCAACGTTGTAATGCTATCGTATACGATGAAGTTGACTGATCCAATCGGCAGTAAGGTATGCTCTACTCATAATCGTGTTCTTGATTTTTTTTTGTTCTTGATCTTTTTGATCACCGGATTCGGTTTATTTCGATCCGATTGATCTGATATTCCGATGATTTGCTTTCACTTTATTGTGTAATTATTCATTCGTTCGTTTTCTTGTTGGATTATTCAATTATCAGTTGATTTGGCCGTTAACCAATGTTATGTAATTTTCAATATTGGCTGGTTGAGTATTGATATGATAGGGTTCAGTTTGGACACTGAGAGAGTTTTAATGTGCCTAATAAACGACTGTGCAGCAGCTGATTTGAAAAACATTCCTGAGAATTCAACTCACTTCTTTATGGATTCGATCGTGACTAATAGCCGTCCTGATACCATTCGATTTCGATTGTTTCAGATGGATTTTCCAATTGCTTTTCATATATCATCCTTCACAGTGCGCTGTTTTTACGTATAACCCTCTCCTGATTAATCAGTTGAAAAGAAGCGGAAACTTTCACTTAAAATGTCTAACTAGATAATGTAAATGCCCCAGAAATTAGAGCAAACCTCTGAATATTTGTGATGAAACAAAGAACAATTGAAACATTGAAATATTTCTCAAACATGCAAAGAAAAACATTTTTTATAGCTTCTAAATGATCGAAACTGCTTCCCAGAAGGAAGCAACGATAAACAATAAGCAAGCACTTCATTGCCGATCGAATACTGCCAATATCCCAAGCGAACCTGCTCGTCACCAGCAAAACGAAATCCCTGAAGCCCTCAAAAAGCATTTCGAAACCAATAGAAGTTTGATAAATAAAATCGCTCGGTGTGAAAATTAGAAAAAGATGTTTTACTCATTCCCAGAAAACTGCTTAATATTCATAAGAATTTCATTAAGAAACCTCAAAGGACATTGAAAATAAAACAATTGAAAACAATTTGCATCAACACATAAATATTTCAAATGAAATTTATGTGAAATTGCATCCCTTTGAAGCGCATATGAAATATTCCATAATGAAAAACGATAGTGAATAAAAGAGTGAATATAAAGCCTCATCTATCGAACAAATCAAGTGGTGAACAACAAAATCGCGTTTCGAATGGCGACATGCTGACGGATATGCAAATTAGTATTGTGTGCACATTGCTGTGCTGTTCATCAATATTTTAACCATATCAAGTTTTGTTTACAGAAATCATACTTTTCATCATATATACTGCCACCTCTTTACGGGACTTCAATGTACACGAGATGGGGGGAGGGAGGGAGGGAGGGAGAGTAATTCAGGCATGACGGATTAAATAGGTTAGCAAATCATTGATTTTTTGAAAAATGATTCTTCCATAATTGTGTAGTAATCTTTATCACAACAAATCGGGAACTTCTAACCTAGAATTTGCTATACCCAACATAGCACACACATTCTCGTGTCTTCATAACAAATGGTTTAGTCAGATGGTTTAGAACTCATTGTTAGTATGTTGATGATGATCTCAGCGTTTAGGTGATAAACTTCATATTATCTTTTCAAGATTTGCAATAAAATGTGATGAAAAGATGCCTGAATGATAAATGTTGAGAGTTCTTGATTTAATGTTCAAAATTAATTCATTATCGTCTGCGATCATTATTTATAGATGAGCAGTTCTGCTGTATGTGTATTGATCACGTGCAGATCGAATCGTTCAATTCAAGTGTCCTTTCGCGGAAATCTTAAAGTTTGGTGGAATTATTGAGGGTGGGACAATGAAGAGTGAGAAGAGCGTGCTTGTTCAAGTTGGAGGAATTTTAAGCTTGATGAAGACTGACTTTTTGATAAAAAGTACGAACTTGGGAACATTAATGTAGTTTAAATCCGTTGTTCCCATATAATGTACCAAATACCATCGTTTCATTCCAACTCAATTAGCAGTGTTGCTATTCCAGTCAAAGTGTTCCATCCCTATTCCATTTCAAGATATGGAATAGGACAGTTCCGAAAATGGACGCGAAAAACACAGCGCAGCGGAACAATTGAAGGGTGAAATAGAAAAGAATAGATCAGTTTGCCAAAAGTATGGAATAGAAACATCACTAAACTTAATCGCATTGAAGAGTGCAGATTTTTTCAAGATTTTTCTTGATTCTCGAAGGAAATAAATCCAAATTCATTCTTAAACCATTTCATTTCATCTGAATTGGATTGAAGTACCAGCAAAATACTATTATTTCGCAACCATTCTTGGATCAAATCGGAGTCAATCACACATCAAAATTATCATCTCCCGATTTCGCCATGGAACATTTTTTTCCATTTTGCAACATAAATGAGGCTCTGCCAACAAAAACACAACCGAACATGCGAATAAAAAAAACCTAATCTGCATTCAGACAAATGTGCAAATATTGAAAAAAANAAAAAAAGTTCAAAAACTGATTCAATTATAATTTCATCATATGGTTTAAATGCGCCGAATGCTCTATAATCAAACTGCACTTTACTTCGCCAAAAATAATTCCAATTCAATGACACATGTCAATCGACTAATTCTCTATTGAAATGCAAGTCTGCAATTGTTGCAGAAATCTGGAATCTGTCTGTGCATGCGAAGATACATCAATATAATCACGTCAAATATGCAGAGTTCAAGCCAATCGGAGCTTATAAACTGTTGAAGTGTAGGTCAGCCAGTAATTCATCGATACTTTTCCAGGCTGCAAACGTATCGAGAAATATTTCTTATTCATAAACTATGCATGAAAATACTCAATTATAGCTGCCGTTATGCGTGTTTCAAGGTTGAAATTTCGTCTGTAATTATACCTTGCAAGGTTTGCTGACACTGTAAGCTTGACTAGTTGAAGATATTCCTGTTTTGGTCTTGTTGAAACGATCAGACCCTATACGTTTATTTGAATAGACATTATGTTGTTTGCAGTTAGCATAATATCCACATATGAATATTAAAATTGATGAAAATGACTACTGAGTCATTTAATCACATTATGCCGCTGCAATAATCACATCATGTTCAGTTCCTAATGAATATTTCGTGTGATTCTCTGAAAAGGTGTTTATTATAACCACGAGCACTTTTGCACAATCGTATTTATTCATCATGATTTCATCATGCATTTTGAGTTACTTGTTAAATGCCTTTATTTCATATTATACACAGTTGTCACACGAGAGTGTATTATCTCTTTTCATGATTATATCATGGAATATGAGAAATTTTATTCAGCGCTTAAAACTGCAATGGTAACTCACTCGCCCAACTCGACACAGTGCTAGCTCGCATATACACCCAAATCAATGAATACAGACTGTTTTGTATTCAAAGAGAGAGCTGAAAAGAAAGATTCAGAATATAGAACAACTGTCACCAGCATTGTCACTAACTAAAGAGTATCAACTGCAGGCTGTCAATAAGAATAATAATAATGTTAATAATGATAATCTGATGAATATGTTGTGCATGACAAAGTGTTATGGTAATCACGAACACATATCATGCAATAAGGGCTGAGCATGATGATATAGGTGCATTGAGAGTGTTTAGGCTCAACAGTCTACACAGAGACACGGACGGATGGATGATCAGTATGGCTGAATTCACTCCCAATTCGGTGGTTACCATAAGAATCGGGGCTAGTTTATTTGCAGGAAGATAAATCATTTACAAATGCGTTCAGTCGGCAAATGGTCTTCTCCGCGAATCCTCTCCCGTTCGATTGTCATTTGCACAATTGAATGATAATGTGTATTTCCATCGTTTATGAAATCGCTGTTTTGATTCAGTTTTATGGTGTTTTACATAAGAATTTATTTGTTTACATGATTTGCATCTGTCACTAATACATAACACGAATGCAGTTTTTTGAAATTTATCTGCTGATTGGTTTGATTGATTCAGTTGCTTGTGTAGTATCTTTCACGGTTTTGCAATTTACACTCTTGGCAGCAAAGAAGTGTAATCAGAGATGATGCAAATTATGCGGACGGTAGTTGAATTGCTTCTGAAAACTGTTTCACGCTCAGACTATGCTATAGTGCAGTTACAAATATTTCTAGGTGTTCCATATGAGACCAAAATACTAACTGATAGACCCGATCAAAACTAATGTTAATCAGGATCTCTTCTCGACTGAAAGTCTTCCGTACGAGACAGACTGAACACATTCATCCTCACATTCAGCTCCTGAAACAATCTGTTGAAGAATAGTTTTGGGGATTCGACTTCGGTTGAGATCGTTTATGAAATGCGAGTCGATTTGCGATTTTGCACTTTCCGCAAAAATTCTTCCATTCGGATTCCAGTTCAGTTCTGGGATTTAGTGATATTTTGAATTTTTATCTTTGATGCAAGTGTTGGATTGATGCACTCCATTCGAAAGATTTCGTTCAAAATTGATAACTTATTAATCGACTCCCATTTCATACAAAGTTCGAAGAATTATTCGTTTGACTATGAGAATGTGATAGGGATAATATTTGTTTTTGTTGAACGAGCATTCCGTCTGATTTTGATCGTCTTTTTTGCGAGTCTCTTTGTATTCGATGCCAAGAAATTGACTTATTTCAGGTATTTATCTTCTTAAAACTTATTTGGGCGAAAAATGAACGTAAGTTTATTTGTGTTGATTTTAGCTAAACATTCAGTGGTATTGTTTTATTTAAACATTCACACGATCACATATTTCGGCTCATCGCATGACCGAAACGATCAAAAATAATATGTTATACTTTATGATGTAAGGTACTGATTTCTTGACAGTGATCAATATGTGGAGTTGTTCATATTCTCCTCAATTCCAGTTGTTCGGCAATAGATTTCTGCGGAAACTAATAAGTATACTGGGTTATTTGGTTTGGGGACATTCCACGCTAAATTTCTTCACATTTTCGATGAAATTATTCACAACTTTCGCATATCGTGCTCAGAAACCAAGTGATTGATTGATGATCCTAAGACGTTCAATGAAACGTTCAATCAAACCATCTCGCAAAAAGTTGATCTCAAAATCTTGTAGCAGCTTGCACGAGATAATCCAAGACAGAGCGAGTGTATTGCAAAATTTCCACAGTGCTGCAGATACATCATAAAAGATATTTTTGGAAAAAGATACGTTATTTGTTTTGCTTCTTAATGTTTTTTTTGAAAAACTTCAGTTCGATGAAGCAGTTGAAAAATGGAAATCACTGGAAGATAAGTTTGACGAGAGTGAAAAAATCGAACTTTACGCGCTGCATCAGCAAGCAACCGAGGGTGATGCAGGCGACGAATGTGATTCTGGTGATGAGATGAAATTCTTAGCATGGAAGTCAAAAACTGGTACGTTCTTCTTCAGAACCATCTTAATCGAGAATCGAAAATCGAGAATCCTGGAGAGACGTGATTTCGAAACTTCACGGAATTGAGCGATGTATTAAAGAGTTTTTACTATAAGTCTTTACTTGAAGAGCTTTTCAAAGAGGAAGAATTGTGCACGGAAATAAACCATGAAACTGTTCGTTGGAATCCACCGAACATCGAATTCTATCCTTTTTTTCAAATGCTCTAAATGTTTAACATCCACAATCTCTCTTTTGTTTGCTTTTTCCGTTTCGTTCATTTTCAACTGAAAACACATCGATTGTTCCGATTGAACTTTCATCACGTAATGTTAAAGCAACAGCACAGTTCCACATGAGATGCACAATTTGTTGATTTGAATTGCAGTCTAAAAATGTTGATTGTGAGAAATTTTTCGATTTCAGTTTCTTTGGTGCTGTCGAATGAAGTTGTAGGGTCGACATTAAAGTTACTGTAAAATTGTATGACTTACACAAAAAATAACGCAATCGGTGAACGACTCCTGTTTAGATCACTAACTGCATGTATCATTGACGAGTGTAGGGAGGCGAACGTGACCTCTTCATTTCGACTTTTGATATGAAGTTGATCGAGTAATGAGACCTAGTCGCTGTTCGTGTGGATGATGGACTAAGAGTAGAAATCAATAGTCACTCATTTGCCACGGTTTTAGATCTGGTACAAAGTGGTTTCTGCAGATTGTGCGGGAAGTTAGAGGATGAAGTTTTTGTCTTATTTGCAGGAATGAGTAAAGAGGACGCTCATGCTGGCTTCATCAAAGCGGTTGAAGAAGCGGCCACCAAGCATGCTGAATAAGAAACAAGAACTGCCCGAAAAGTGCGCATTCCGTTCACAAATATCAACCGAATCCGCAACAAAACAAACAATCTGAATGCAATGAATTTTTTATAGTGCAAAATTTGTTTCGTTACATTTTGAGAAATACGACGAATTGAAGAAGTAACAAAAAATAGTTCATTCGCTTTAAAAGTTACATGCGTAAAATTTTGATCTAAACCATCAAAATGTTTTCGAATAAGATTAACAAATGAGAAGATTTTTATAAGATTTGGATGCATACTGTTCAAACAATGAATAATATCATTGTTATACAGCGGCATAATTTTAAAAACATTTTATTCAATGCAATCTTTAGATGAATCTTTAACTTATCTATAACATATCGTCGTTGTTTGATTATTTATAATTTGCCAAACCGATTTTCAATGGTTTATTCGTTTATCAGCTCGCAATAATTCACAGTTCAATAATTCCTAGCATATTTTTTGATCTTATTACAACATTCTATCTTATCACGATTGTTTTTATCAGCAAAATGTTTCGTATCATTGTCGCTTGGTTATAATGTTTATTGCTTACAATGCAATTATCAAATAAACAAATTTGTTGTCTCGATTATCTTGCAGTGATTTTCTCTTGACTTGCATCAAATAAAATAATCTCGAAATGCTGAAACAACGATAAAACACTGCAGTTGACCACAATAATTTATTTTCCACTTTATTTTCATAGGGTGTACGGGATTGGAATCCGCTCAAACGCTTGTTGTATCCTTATTTTTATGTTACTTGTTAGTTGCATAACGCTGAGAATTTGATGCTGCAAATTGGAATTTTAGATCAAAATATACACAAAAATATGATCTTTAATTAACAAACAGATGGATTTCTGCGAAAGAGTGAATTGTGATGTGTGTAGTGGTGTGCGATTGGCGATTGATAACGATTTATGCAACAAGCAAAAGAATTTACAGTGACACTGTTAAAAATACCATTGATAATCACACCACTTTAGAGCCTGACTGATATAATCATTATTATCAGTTGTATGCACGATTGGTTTGTTAGAATCTGATGCTCTTTTCCAATTCGCATCTCACGTGATATTGCTTTTGCAGTTTTTATTGTCTGTCGCATATGATGTTTTACTGTTTTGATTGACTTGTTCTTGTAGTTTCAGTTTGCATCTATAATAGGAAACACAAACAATAAATATGAACAACGAAAATGAAGAAGATATATTCAATAATTGTGCAATACAAATGAAAAATGAGAAAATTATGAGAGAGATCTATATTAAAATCACTTGTCGTCAGTAGTAAATTTGCAAACTGGATGGATATTACGAGATATTCTTTAAGTTTACATATCTATTGCTGACAATTAGTGATTGTAAAAAAGACAATGCACAGTATATAAACTGTTGCTTTAGGTATTGTGATTCGAAAGCACAGCAGAAGATAGTTTAGTTTGATATAATGGTATTAATTTGTGACAATTGTGCACTTCTTTCGAGGCCCCCTTCTCGGAAAGCATTGGGCAGTATGGAAGAACAATCCTACAACATTATTGCAGCCAAAGTGAACTAACGCAAAAAAACGAAATCACTCTCGAGACAGAGTCATAATAGTTCTGAGATAAACGTTGAAAATAGTGGCTAATTACACTTTATGAGCAACTTGTCCCGCACACAACGTTCGTATCACTCACTTCCGTTCCATTCATCCGTTTGATTGATATCTAACGTGGGACCATATTAGAATAGAACACTTGAACGCTAATGTAAAATCATCGAAAAATGAAACGTTCGAACTGGTCTAAGACCTGAGAATGACACTTAAATTCAGGCTAATGCTTGGCTCTAACATTACGCTCACATCTATACCAAGCAAGCTCCGCTGGAAAGTTGTGTCCATCCAAAAATGTCTAGCACTGTTCTAAACCGATTCCTGACATGTTTCAGAAGGCCCCAGTCTCCTCTACGCTGTGCTTGAATGTGCTAACCCCTATAGCATCAGGAAAATAGCTATATCTCCTCGTAGAGACAGACTTTCTCTGCGAAATTTTCATTTTCAGAAAGCTGAGATTCTGCTCGATCGAACAGTGCATAAATATCAAATATGTTATTGGGAAAATCTGAAAACCTGAAAAGACGGTAGGCTTGAATGTATACTCGTAGAGGCAGAATTTCTCAGCGATAGGCTTGAATATATCAAACCTTTATGTTTACGGGCAAACTTGAGAAGACGGTAGGCTTGAATGTACCCACGTTTCTATAGTAATGTATAATATGCATTGATCTATAGTGATCAAATGCACCTCAGCGCTTGTTGAAATAGCTTTACTAAAATAGCTATATCTCCTCAACTAAGAGGAATCGCTCGACAAAATATATATTTTTCTGAATGCAGAGATTCTGCTTAATCGATT